ATGTATGCTCTGGTTGCTGTTCTCTTGCGTCCGTATACGGCATCTTTCCTCCCTTCACATTCCTTCAGAAATCTCCCACAATCCTGCTTCTCCCTTCTTGGCCTACGCTTTTCCCTGCTTCCTACTATCTCCACCTTCCTCCCCCTCTTCGTTACCGCCTTATCTTCCCTCCTCATGCACAAACCACCTTCCACGCATTTCTTCGTTTCTCACATTCAACATTCAGTGAAGTCCAAATTATGTATCTCAGCATCCTTATCTCTATTCTTCTCATGAGATTCCTTTCCCTCTTTCTCAGTATTCAGCTTGTTGATCAATACGTCTTATCATTTTTTTATCACAGATGACACCTTGCATTCCTCTCCACTTGTTATATCCCGCTTTCATTTGTTCTGTTACTTCTTCCGGTGTTTCTTTTTCCCTATATTACTCCTGTTCGTAAATAGTTTAATGTCAACCTACATCACTTCCCTCCCATTTATCTCCTCAACACAGACTACAATTTTTCCTCAGAGACCATTTTACTCCAATCTTCTTTGCATTCACGTCCAGCCTACTCTACTCCAGACTACTCTCCTCTTGAACTCTTTCACCCACAGTTCCGCTGCCGCCAGTTCCTGATCAGCAAAGAGGAACTCCTGAGGCACTATTCTTGTCTCCTACGTGTCTATTGAGTTCATGAAAAGAAAGTGCCACTCCAACTGTAATTCCATATTCCTGTCTCATTCTGTTGTCTGTTTGTCATCTGTGCCAGTGAGAGATTGGATCTTGACTACCTTCCTGAGTATCTAGTTTATCTATTAATCTATTATTCTATTTGTTGATTAATCTACCTCTCTATCTTTTTCAGTATTAATCTATCTATCTACTGATAAATCAATCTATCTACCGATCAATTAGTCCATCTACTGATCAATCTATCTATCTAATGATCAATCATCTATCTACCGATCAATCTATCTACCGATCAATTAGTCCATCTACTGATCAATCTATCTATCCGTCTGTTTACCTATATACTGTACAATCTTTATGTGTGCATGTATGGCTATGCATGGACCTCCGCTTCAGAAGCCAGGACCTCCGCTTCAGAAGCCAGGAAGAAGCCAGACCTCCGCTTCAGAAGCCAGGACCTCCGCTTCAGAAGCCAGGACCCCTTCAGAAGCCAGAAGCCAGAACCTCCGCTTCAGAAGCCAGGACTCCGCCAGAAGCCAGAACCAGAACTCCCTTCAGAAGCCAGCCTCCCCTTCAGAAGCCAGGACTCCTTCAGAAGCCAGACCTCCCTTCAGAAGCCAGGACCTCCCCTTCAGAAGCCAGGACCTCCCCTTCAGAAGCCAAGACCTCCCCTTCAGAAGCCAGGACCTCCCCTTCAGAAGCCAGGACCTCCGCTTCAGAAGCCAGGACCTCCGCTTCAGAAGGACCTCCCCTTCAGAACCAGGACTCCCTTCAGAAGCCAGGACCTTTCAGAACCAGGACCTCCGCTTCAGAAGCCAGGACCTCCGCTTCAGAAGCCAGGACCTCCCCTTCAGAAGCCAGGACCTCCCCTTCAGAAGCCAGGACCTCCCTTCAGACCAGGACCTCCTCTTTAGAACCCCAGGACCTCCGCTTCGGAAGCCAGGACCTCCGCTTCAGAACCCAGGACCTCCGCTTCAGAACCAGGACCTTCCGCTTCAGAGCCAGGACTCCGCTTCAGAACCAGGACCTTCCTCAGAACCCAGGACCTCCCCTTCAGAACCCAGGACCTCCGCTTCAGAAGCCAGGACCTCCGCTTCAGAAGCCAGGACCACCCTTCAGAACCAGGACCTCCTAAGAAGCCAGGACCTCCCCTTCAGAAGCCAGACCTCCCCTTCAGAGCCAGGACCTCCCTTCAGAACCAGGACCTCCTCTTTAGAAGCCAGGACCTCCGCTTCGGGAGCCAGGACCTCCGCTTCAGAACCCAGGACCTCCTCTTCAGAACCCAGGACCTCCGCTTCGGGAGCCAGGACCTCCGCTTCAGAACCAGGACCGCTTCAGAGCCAGGACCTCTGCTTCAGAACCCAGGACCTCCCCTTCAGAACCAGGACTCAGAAGCCAGGACTCCTTCAGAAGCCAGGACCTCCGCTTCAGAAGCCAGGACCTCCGCTTCAGAAGCCAGGACCTCCCCTTCAGAAGCCAGGACCTCCCCTTCAGAACCAGCCTCAGAAGCCAGGACCTCCCTTCAGAAGCCCGAAGGACCTCCGTCCGAAGCCAGGACCTCCCTTCAGAAGCCCCTCCCCGGGACCTCCTCTTCCAGGACCTCCGCTTCAGCCAGGACCTCCGCTTCAGGCCACCTCCGACCCAGGACCTCCCCTTCAGAACCCAGGACCTCCTCTTCAGAAGCCAGAACCTCCCCTTCAGAACCAGGACCTCCGCTTCGAAGCCAGACCTCCGCTTCAGTAG